ATTCCTGGATTTGGGGGAACTGACCATATTCAAATCATGAGGCTGGAGATACATGTGTGCTGAGACTCACCAGGGCAGCTGGATATGATGACAGCCTGAGCTTTACTCTTCATCCAGATGGTTCGAATCACGATTGAGTATATGATGCTACAGAAGGGAGAGAGTCATTGATATTATGAGGCACAGTAATTTTAACTGACATCCTAGTCATTCGTTCTCAATGAAAGTACTTATCTATGTATAAGGAGCTCATAGAGATGACGGGACTTCATAGGAATAACAATAATAATAATAAAGACAACAACAATAATAAATAAAATATGACTCTCCCGTAGTACTTTTCAGCAGCAGATCTGAAGACTTTTCAGCATGGAAGTTGCTTTTGCTTTCCTGGCTTTGCAATTGTGAAATCTGAGGTGCAGAGAAATATAATGATTTGGCCAATATCTCGCAGGCAAGATCTTGTTGGGGGTTTTGAGCCAGCAGAGACCAAATCTGGCTAGGTACCGGCCCCAGGCAGCAGCCATCTCACCCCTGCACAGAGGTGTGCTTGTGGCCTTGGGAGCTGCAGGAAGGACACGAGCCCTGAAATCAGGGAAGCAAGGGGATGGACCTGTTTTGGCTGCGTGTTCACTTCTGGTTTGGTGTTACTTTCTGAGTATGAATCTGACAAATAAAATAGTACCCCGGGGTTGTTGAGAGAGGCAAGATACATGAAAAATGCAATTAAGTAGTGTGATGCTCACTTTGAGGTCTCAAGATCCTGGGACTGAAACCGAGGAGGGCAGAAATACCAAGTAGATTGGAAGAGTTAGATGATTCAAAACCAAATCCACCACGATTTGCTTATTTAGAGGGCAACATACACATACTTTTAGTGAAAAGGATGAAAAGCAACCTAGTCCACAACGACTTCAGATAGTTATGACCTTTCCTCAGTGGTAACAAATCTGGAATTCTGTTTATTCTGTTTACGTAAAAATGATTCCTTCAAGCTGAAGAGCTGTTTGAACTCACATCCTGGATAAGGATGTTACCTTTTCAGCAGTTTACATAAAAAAATACAAGGCCTTGCTCTGTCTGACTTTTCTCTTGAAAGCGTGCATAATGTGCTAAAATCACTAAGCAACAGCATACTTTTGACTGGTATTTTCCTTTTTAGTCTGATAAGGAAGATAAAAATAATTTTAAAATGTTTCATCTAGTGCACTCGGGCTGCCATGTTTTCCTGATGTAAAAACCAAGCATCGTAACAGAAGGCCTGGGGCAGCCGGACCATTAATTGACATAAACCTTAGTGGTGATTTTGTAAAAAAGCTGCAACTAGGGAGATTATTTCAGAGTGTTTTGTAGAGACAAAAATGTATCTTACTACCATGTGGCTTATTTTTCTTATCAGAAGAGACATTATACTTAGAGCTTTCAGACTGATATATGAGCCTTTCCTACAGCACCCTTAATTCCTAGACCTGCTTGCAAAGGCAGTATTTTTGTGCCTTGGAGGTTTCCTTTCTGTGGAAGTTTGAACCATCTGGTTTCCAGGCTCACAAGGTGAGAGCTGGAATTTCAACGTGCAGTCCGGGCTGTGCAGTAGAGCAGTAGCGTACTTGCCCGGTGAGGGTTTTGCATGCATCTGCCGCAGGCTCCAGCTTGCCCTGCTTAATCCCTTCAAAGGTCCAGCATGGCTCCCAGCTGACTTGAACATTTTCCTTTTATCTCCTGCCTTTTTAAGAACCTGTTTATTTATCAGCTGGTGCACTTGAGAGTTCCTTTGTACTTTGTACTGACAATGGTGGAAAATTAATGCATCATTTCTCCTTTGATTGTTCCAATGAATAAGATTGTATTATAATGATAATTGTTGTAATCTCAGGAGAATTTCCAGCCAGCTCCTAAAAGTTCTGTTTCTATTTTCTCCCTAGTCTGCTTCTCTAGCCTGACCCTTTTATTTGCAGTTGAAACAATACCCTCTCTGATACAGACCTGCATTGTCCAGCAGGACACATTCAGAATTGCCTAAGAACCAGGATAAAGGAGCCTAACTCTGAGTCAAAATACGCAGACTCCCTGCTGCCAGCCAGGTACCACAAGGATTAAATTAAGTAGTCAAGGTCCTCACTTGCTTTCCCTCCAACCCCAGGAATCCTGCTCTCTTGGCTGCTGACTCTGGTAGGAACATCCCTTTCACCAGATGCAGTTAGAGCAGCTGTCTTCTTCCCTTGGCCTTGCATATGTGAGATTACATGCTGTTTCATTTGAATCCTGAATTTTTAGAAGTCCAGAGGAAAGTTTAAGTCCTGGTTTAATCCAGTGGCTTCTGAAGTCTTGCCAGCATAGTGGATTTGTCATAGTGGTTTTGCCTCTATTCATCTTTCTTTTCTCTATAGCTGGATCTACCAGAGCCTTTCTTACTGGGAGGGGACCAGAGGTGGTGTAAAGCTGCTCAGGCTGGGTGTCAGGAAAGATGAGTCACTTCCCAGCAACTGTTTTGCCAGCCACAGTTATGCCTTTATGCATTGGTCTCTCTGGAACTCCAGATCTTCTTAGTGCCTAATCTTTTAATTTTTTTTCCCCCGAAGCTATGCTGGCATGAAGCTAAGACACTAGACTTTCCAGAAATGTGTCACCCAAAGCTTAAGATCATAAAAGGCATCTGTGTTTGTGTTTCAAAGTCACAACAATAGAAAGAGAGCACTTATAGAACAGAAGTTTTTTTTTTTTTCTTACAAGGGAAAAGCAGATTTTTTTCAGAATGTGTTTGTAGCTTCTTTCTTTAAAAGGTTGCTGGAGGGGGATGTGGAGGTTAGCGACATCTCAAAGGGTGGGAAGAAATTCCCACCTGATGGAAAATGAAGTGCCAGACAAGCAAAGGGTAGCACGAGATGGATGACAACTGGTATTCAGGTGGCCAGGAGGGTGTTTGGCAATGTTCTGCACCATTCTGACCGTATCATAATCTCTGTTTCCTTCCTCTTGACATTGACTTACTCGGCCCTCGCTGCCAAAATGTAAAAGCACACCGTACACATTGCCACAAACCTCCTTTTCCAACACACGTAACATGCCTGCATGCTGCTTGCTCTTGTCTCTACTGAAAGCACTGGGAGATGTGGTGTGTTCCTTAGATTCAGATATTGCCAGGTTTCTTTGTGTCTGTAAGTACGTAGTGCACTGGTCTTCCAGCCCTCACTGGGGATCTTGGGGGCTATATAGACATGTGCTGTAGTCATTTTAATGCATACTGTGATATTAAAATATTATAGGAGTTGTTGGGGCCCATGGTTTTCTGGTGAGAGACTAAAGAAAAGAAAGAAAGAGATCAGGTGGAGTAGTGGTGAAAAAGAGATCAGGTGGACTTGCTCAGGCTGTGAAGACCACAAGATAGAAAGGACATGTTGTTGATCTGAAAATGCAGTGATCTTTCTAGCCCTGATAAGATGCATATCTGTAGAAGTGGCAGGAAAATACAAGCATATGGTTTGGACTATGGATGTAATTTAGCAAATTAAATTCATTGCACCTCCAGAAACAATTTATCTTGATGCAAATTCTGAAGGACGAAGATGCATGTTCATTATAGCATGGTATTAGTTAATGGTGGTGTTTCTTTTGACCCCATTGATAATTACAGCATTCTTTGTCCATATAAATAAGTAGCTTATGGTTAGTCATACAAATGCTACTGTGGATAGTCCCATCCCACCTTTATTGCTAGATCACTTTTGTTTTGGAAAAAAAAAAGTCTTCTGGCAAAGCTATGTATTGATATTAACAATCATAAGAGATACTGATCTGCCCACTCTTCAAACACAGATTTTTAGTTTTTTAAAATAAATGGTTGCAATACAATAGCATCACACCCAGCCTCAGCATTTACTAGTAAAATGAGCCTTTACTATGTCAAAAAAGTAGACTTAAGCTCCCTGCTAATTGCTTGTATCTATCATCCAATGTTGCTTATTGTTCCTTGCACATTATTTGTGCAAAGTGATGCAGCTGCGTTATGTTTTATGGTAGCTAATTTACAAGACTATTTATCCAAAGACAAAAGGCTTATGTAACCTCATCTGAACAAACCATTGTAGGCATGTGTAATGGGTAAGTGAATAGATGGGCAGATATTAGAACATACGTGCAAAATCTAGGCTTTTTTATTTAGAACTGGAAATTGCAGGCAAAAATGATTGTGCTTGTTGAATCAAGCTCAAAAAAATGAACTTTGGTATTTTTATTAATGATATTTTTATTCCCTATATTTGATTTAATTCAGATAAATATCTTTTATTTCCCCTATTTTTTATTTTATTGCAATGTGGTTTTTTTAGTTCCTTATTTTTCCTTTTAGCTGATTCTGGTTTTTCCCTCTTAATTCTTTTTCTGCTGCTCCAAAGCAAATGTTCTCTTTGGAGTTTTGATTTTAAACAGCAGATGGATGTTTTTTCCTCTCTACTTCAGAAGGAACTTGTTCAATTTTTCTTAACCTGAATTTGGAATTATATTAAACAAATGTCTATGTATTACATTTATCAGTTCAAATATAGAAAATAAATCTGGCATATGTGAATAACATGTAAAAAGACTCTGAACTGATGGGTAGTCAAGTGCCAGAATATAATTATGATTTGGTACAGAGTAGTAATAAGAGAACAGAAACCCAGTAGCTCTCCTGTCTCCCCATCACCTGAGGACCTGAGGGGACCAAATGCAAATATTTGCAGGACAACCATCCGTAATCTTGATTTGACCCATGTTTAACCTCTGTTCAGCAATGCCACAGAGGTGTTCAGCTGTCACAGATACCTTCTGAGCTTTGCTTGCCATATCTTGGTGTTGGAGAAATGGCTTCGGAGGTAGCTGATGACACTTCTCCCAGAATAGCAGAGAACTAATTACTGCAGGGTGCCTAACTAATTCTTCTTCATTTTCTGGGTTTTGGGAGGCTGACAACGTCAACTGCAGAAAAAGCGGTAGATTAGTCTAAATAAGAGGGAAGAAAAGGCCAAATTTTTAAGCACTGTAAAGATGCAGGATCTGTGGCTCTCCCTAACTGACACTGAGACAGTGGGGAGGAGGGAAGGTTTCACATGAAAAGAAGAAATATTCTCCTCATTTTGCTCTCAAAGATAACCACTCACTTGGGTTAAAAATCTAATCACAATTAGATTAGATTCTCTTTTCATTTTTCAGATCTTGTTGGTTTGTATTATAGTAAGATAAAAAACTCGCCACAAAACCACAGGCAGTTTGATAACTGATTGCGGATTCTCCAGTTGTGAAGAAGTGGTGGGAACAGACCTCCCTGGTGTTTAAATCTTTCAGGGCTGTTGCAGTTTTGTTCACAGATTGCCTTTTTATACATACATTGAAAAAAGAAGAGACAGATTGTTGTTTTCTTCTGGTTTGTGTTTTGGCTTGGAATCTGTAGGGTTTGCTCACACCGTGTCTGGGGCATTGGCTTGTCAGTGGAAGGGTTCTCCAGACTAAGCATAAGGTTATCGGCTAAATAATTTGTTCCATGGGCTGTGGTGTTATGAATAACACAGCTCCTGTGAGTTAGTTGAAGGCTGTGTCAGGAACAGGTGAAATCAGCTCTTCCAAGAGCGCTGAGGGATGGATGAGAGAAGCTTTAAAGATGATGGTACTTGGACTGTAGCAAGTGAAAACCGCTCAGCCAAAGCAGCATATCTAGTGTGGAATTAAGTTCTGCACCTGAAAAGTAAAATTTTATCCCTAGTATGCACTTCGGATCAACTGCACCAGAAAAAGTGCTGTCGTCAGTGAACTGCTTTGCTCTAGAGGTTAGGTTTTCAGCAGATTCAGGCAGCAGAACTAATTAAGAATTAACTCCGCCAGCCAGTGTCCCACATTGCGTCAGGCACCTTCTATGCAGCTAAATCAGAGTGCTTTGGCAGAGAAAATAAAGTAGCTGTGCAAACAAAATTAATTCTTACAGAGAAGATCTCATTCTTTCTCTGTGCGCACCCTGCCTCATTTTCTCAGCAAGTGTGGCGTGTGTCTTGGCTTCTGGTTTATTCGTATTCCCAGCTGCTTAGATACTGATCCTTGACTTTTGAGTCACACCTTTATGGATCACCTTTACATCATTATGTTATGGCCTTTCTTTAATAACATCTTCAGCTGAAGGCCATTAAATTAAAAAGAAATCACAAAAATGCCTTCTTTCATTTACTAAATAACACCTCTCATTTTTATGATTAATCTTTTGACAGAGTAACACACAACTACAATGTATATGAAGTCTCTCACTCACCCTCATGAAACAGCATCTTGTTTGTCATCCAACCTACTGTACGTCAGAAAGTGTCTGGTAGAACAAAACTTTTGCAGAGAAATTGAGTCCCTGCAGACTAACAGCCCTTCTTGCCAGTATTTAGCTGCAAATTGCTTACCAGAGAATTTATATGCTGCAGCCACATCAGGTGGATTAGCTTTACATTCCTGGACTGCCAAGAAATTTTAAAGAAATAGATGTCATGCCTTGAGGTTATGTTGACAGATATTTTACAGATGCACCAGCTGGGAAGTTGCAACCTTCAGTTCTATGCCTGAACTTGAAAAATCATTCTAAAAAAATAGCCAGTTCTTTCCAAACTGCATGGCATTTGTTCATAATGTCTCTGCTGACCTTGCCCTGATGGTAATCCTCTTTTTATGTGGTTTTAGAGAATCCTCTGTATTCTGAAGAAAATAACATCACTGACAACTAGAAATAAACTGGCACAAAAAAATCCTTCCCTGTGCTAGCACCCGTCCTTCCTCCCAGTGCCTGACACCGCTTAGGACCTGTCGAGAATTTGGCTTCTGCTGGCAAGGATCTGGGAGTGCTTGTGTTAGTGTACACTGAAACCAGGAACGTGTTGGGCAGGCACCAGGCACCCCTCTGCCCCATGGCTCCAAGGCCAGTGTTTGAAGTTCCTGTCCTGCCATAAACTTCTCATGTGAAAGCCACTGACGGTTAAAGCCACAAAAATTTTAGGATGCTTTATTCTTGTCTCAGCTATCAGGACAATCTCATGAAATGCCAGCTTCACTGACTTTCCCCCATGTCTTTATCACCTTCTTGCTTATGGGGCTTGTTGGGGTAAAGCAAGTCACAAAGCTGATCTGGTTTGAGTATTGGTCTTTGGCAGAGAGGAGGGAAGCACAGCGTCAACAGCTCTGAAAAATATCTTGCTATGTAGCTTGCCTTTTCTTGCCAAACAACTGTATATGCCATGCAAAAAGAAGTGGCTGATCTATCATAGAAAGCGTGCGAATCTGTAAGTTTGAGTGTGAAAGAGGTGTTTCACACACCTGTGGAAAGACTGATAACTGGGTAGGCTATGGGCCTTTTTCCTAAAACACTTAAGATACTGGCTAGAATTTCCTGATTGCTAGCTGCTTGAGAAAATTCATGACAAAACCCCTTGCATAGTAACAGCCAGCCTCAAGGTTTTCTAGTGGCATTTCTTTCGCACAGTTATATTACTTTTTGTCTCTTCTGTGTGTGTTGATTCTTTTTGCTGCTAGTGCTGGGCTGCAGATCTACATTTTTATTTACGTATTCCCAGGAGTATTTTTTGGTTTATTTAAAGCTAGACTGGTTTTAAGATACAGGCAAACATACAAAGAGAAATGATCCTGTCTAGGAAGGAAGAGCAATTGGATATCTGGGAGTAGTTTTTTTCTATTGCTGTCAAGTTCTTTCTTCAAGGAGAACTTCTCTCTCTTTTTTTTTTTTTTTTTTTTTTTTTTTTTTTTTTTTTTTTTTGGTATATCTGTGCAATCTGGCACAGAAGTGGAAGGATTAGCAAACTGATGTGTTATGAGCAAAATACAAAAATTGTCCCTTCTCTCTAGGGACCAGCACTAGTCAGTGTTGAATCTGTCTCAAAGTCAGCTAGAGGAGTTCAAGCACCACAGTTTCCATGCTCCTGTGCTTTAGGCTCCTTCAGAGATAAACTTGTTTCCATTAGAAGCTGCAGAACCAAATCTCTGCAATAAAACAGTAAGAAAATCCAACGCATAACTCAACTGGAAAGGGACTAAACCGATGACATAGTCTTTACTATTTAGCTTATGTAGCCAGTCCTGTCATCATCTAGAAAAGATCATCCCCCCACCCCACACTCACCTGGGGTGCTAATGAGGAGCAAGCTAACTGAGACTCATGGCTCACAACCTGCTGGAAAATCAGATGGACCGTGAGAGATCTCCAATGGACATGCAAACATAGCTCCCCTCTCTCAGCCCAAACAGCATGTCACCAAATTACGGGGAACATAAGGAGCCCTAGCAAGTCTTCTTTGCCACTGAGAAGAAGAGATGGACACTGAGAAATCCTATTGCAACTGTGCTACTGAAAGGGAATAAAAGGGAAAGGAAGAAAAGGAATATGTCTGGGCTTGGAGAACAAGTTACTGCTACTGACAGCCTTTCAAGGCAGTTAAGAAGCCTCACTCCTCTTCCACATCAGTTTTTTGGCTGCTCCTTTGCAATATTAGCTCTTCATGGCTAGATAAGTCTTGTTTAACAGTGGCTAATGGCAGCACCTCAGAGGGAGGCAAGAAAATTCTCTGAGTACCAAGCACAGTCTGAGATGTTGATAGACCTCAGTTTAAAAGCAGATTCTACTGCAGATGATCTTTGTGATTTTGGGCAAATCAGTCTCAAATATTTGTAGCTCAGGTTTCCTCTTACAAAATGAGAAGAATTTTATTTGTTCGTGTTTTAGGAGTGGTTACCAGTTTCAAATGCTTAGAAATTTCTTCCTGATCCTGGTGAGGAGACACTCTACTAGTACTATGAATCTTGAGAGCCCTTTAAGTTAATTTTAGTTTAATTAGTGTTAAGGGTGGTTTCCTGATCTTTTATTAAAACTATGTTTTGTCATAATTGCTAGACATTCTTACTGGATTTATAAAGATATATTTCAAGCCTGAATCTGCAGAGATAAGTGGACATACTTAGAGACTCAGTCTTTTTTTCAGAGAAAATGTTTCTGGCTATTAACACTGCATGGAGAACACCCAGGGCAAGTGCAGCAACCCATGCATTATGTGATAAAAAATGAAGCAGCTGTAAGGCAGGTGTGGAAACGGAATCGTAATGAATGAGTAGAAATTAAAACATTAAGCTGATTGCACACTTGACAGCTTTCACCGCATGCTTGCTGACTGCATTTCAGGCTTACCTGATAATGATCAGAGGAATGAAGTACACCAGGAAAGCCACCACCGTCATGTAGGGTATCCAGTAGGAGTCATCAGGCCAGAGAGCCCAACACTGCACTTCTCCGTTGGAGAGCTGCCGTTTCCCAAAAATAATCAGAGTTGGTATGGAAAACAGGAAAGAGAGGCTCCAGGCCACTCCAATCAGAACTTTCGCCTGCCTTTCTGTGCAACAGAGTCAAACAGACGGTGTTAATGGGGGTGTTGGTGTGACTGGGCCCAACAATACTGATAGAAAGGCAGGGAGGAGGAGGAAAATGGGTGAAGAGAGGGAATTTTGGGCAGCAGCTGGCTGATGCTGGAAAGACTGCAAAAGAGAATGGGGATTTCATCTCTTTCTCATGATAAAAAGTCATGTTGTTATGGGCTTGTATTTCACGTGTTTTATGTAAATATCCTAAGGGCCCGTTGAATCTGAAATGCTGTGAAAAAGGCACTGGCCAGGGTCAGCAAGTCGGAAACATGAGATGTAAATGGTTCCTCTGTGCCACCAAGACAACGTCAAGAATGAATGCAAAGGACTGCAGGCCTGCCCTGCTGCAAGCTCCGACCCTGCCTCGGCAAAGCAGTGGTCAGTAGGAGGACAGAGAGACAGAAAAGAAGGAGGACCCCTTGTGCTACGGAGAACAGAAGAAGGCTGAGACTGGGAAGGGTTACATAAATTCGGTTGGAGTGTGCTGGATTTACTGGCAGGGGAAATGTCCTTCCTGGAATAGAATTAAACATTTTGATGCACCTTGAAGTGAGAAAGCTCACAAAAACGTTTCCTATCAGGATTGAAACAAAACTACACGACCGGCTGCCTTTAACTCCAGCTGCAACTGTACTGCCCTGAAGAAACATGGTCCTGGAGAGCCCAGGAATCTCCTGTAGTTTTCTACATCATGGCAGTGACCAAAGCCAGCCCAAGTGATGCCCAGCGTGGACCTGCACACCATGAGACAGGGCAGATGATGGTGAGCTGGTACTCGAGTGCTCAACTCTGTTTTATCTGCTACAACAGACGTCGATTAGGAGATCCTGCAGGACCTCATGGTGAAGATAAGGAGCTGCAGGATCCCAAAACACTTGGTGAGTTTGGGCTACGGCTTCCTCTTGAATTCTGGCCTCATCTGCTGCCAAGTGGGGAAAAATGTTGGGAAACCAAATGATGCCTTGTGGCACCCATGGGGTTCTGTAAAAATCAATGGGTTGGAGCAAACAGCCCCAGGGCTTTCATTTTCACAAATCTGCATCTTCTGGCTAAAATCCAGGTAGCTCTAACCAAAACGTGTCATGAAAAGAGGCTGATCTCTGTAGTACCAGTGATTCTTAGCTGCAGCTATTCCTCCTGAGTCAGATTGTGAGAGGAACAGATGGGGACAGACTTTTTGATCTGTGAAGCTTTGGTTTTAAAATACTTTATTGTCCTATGAAATACGCAAGGTTGTGTGTGAAATAGGAAATCACTTTAAATTATGCATATCAAGAAGAGCGT